ATTCAACCTAATTTCAAAAAATTATTTGCCACAACTTCAACTACAGAAGTTTTAAAACTCAGCCTCAGTTACTGCAGCCGGTTGCTTAAAAATTTTGAGTAAACACAACTTGTTATGTTTGACAGTGCAGGAAGTAAACACCTAAATGAAGAAATCAAAATTGTACGTACACTGTAAAAAGTTATTAGTTAGTTAAAGCGAGAAAATCAATTGCCTTAAAAGTAACAAGTTGACTTAACAAAATAATGTGAACCCATTGTCACTAACTAATAACTTTTTTCTAATACACCTTTATTATATTTGCTTTTTCCCCATCTTTTCTGGATCTAGCAAAATGACACCTGCTCTTCCAGACTCCAGTGTGTCTTCTAATTTCAATACAGGGTATAATCGTAACTTTTAGAGACTTAATGAAGCACCAAAAATGTAATATTGTGATAATTACAGTAATTATTTCAAAAACGGACATGCTAAAATAGTTCAGCACTGTAAAAAGGGATTAGGTTACTTTAAAAAAGTAAGTACAATTGGCATAATTATAAAAAAATTAGTCAACTTAGCTGTTCCAAGTTGTAATGAGTGTACTTTATTTTTGTCGGTTTTAAGGCAATTGGTTTACTCGCTTTAAGTAACTTTTTACAGTGTATTCTCAACAGATTTCATTATTTTCATTGAACAAACATGCAGTCAAATCGTTTTCATGAGTAAACTCAACACTGAGCTAAAAAAAATGTCCACCTAAATTAAAATTTTAAGCTGAGTTAATAATATGTAGGTTGGATGTATGTGTAGTAGGAAAATATTAATTAATAATCCATGCTGTTGAGTTCACACATAAATGAAGACATATAAATGATCTTTGCTGTGTTTTTTTAATGATGGGTGCATAATAAAATAGATCTATCAGAACCATAATAATCTTCAAAAAAATGTAAGCAAGATTCAAATGAGGTCAAATGTTTAAAATGCAGAACTCTATCTTTTTTAAGTACCTAAAAGGCAACGTTATATAACCACAAAAGTGCTTACTCAAAGCAGACAGTAATGATAGCTCACCTTAGTTTACCTTTATTACGTGTGGTGGAGATAACATTAATGTTCTGGATCTGTGCTTTTGGATAGAGTTTCATTTTAAAACAGATTAGGCTAAATATATGCCACAAATCTGATTATTCCTATTATTTAATTACATTTTATTTTAAGGTCTCCCTTACACTCAAAAAATGATTACTGCTTGTCAAAGTTTTAAAATGGGATTAACAACACATCTTGTCATTTCTTTGCCCAATTTCTTTGTTTTGTGTTTAGTCCACTTAACTTTTTAAACCATTAAGTTAACTTAAGTGTTTTGTGTTGGTACAACATAAAGGAATTGTGTTCGTCCAACTACCTTAGAGAATTTGTAGTTCCTAGCCTGCTTTGCGTGAGATTGAATTAAATGTTAACTATAAAAGTAATATTGGGTGTTTAAAGTTAATAGAAAAATTTGGTAGAGTTAAATCTTCACTTTAGTTTGAAGATTTAGAAGAATTTCATGTAATGCTTTGAGTTTTGAGATTAGCACCTTACAGAAACACGCATGCTTTGGGTGTTGGCAGCTTGATTAGCAAATATGCAATTTGTTGCGCTGTAAAAAAATAAACGTTATTTTACAGGTAATTGTATGTTTTTTTTTTTACAGAATGTTCCAGTTTTTTCATTGTACAGTGAAATATCTGTTGATCTTCTGTAATAAAAAAAAATTCTAACATTAAATTTACAGTTATTGCTTGTATTTTGGTATTACATTGATTTTCTGTTTTTTAAAAGAAATGTTTTGTATTTTCAGAGAGTAAAACATGATTTTACATTAATATTTACAGATTGTTCATATAAAATTGGGGGGGGGGGGGGGGGATTCAGTCACATTGTTTTTAGTGAAAATAGTAATCATAAGATTAAATTGAGGTTAATAATGTCAAATAATAGCCCATTGTTGTAGGCTGCATCAAGGCTTAATTTGTGCCGGATCCGAATCGGGCACCTCTGAAATCTGAAATCTGAAATCGGCTCCTCATTCTAACGATCCCACACCTCTTTATCCTCGGGTGACATGCCAGATGCGTTACCCCAATCTGTTTCGGGACCTCAAATTTCACGAATTAAGCACATGGGCTGCATATAATGCACTGTAAACTATAAATTGTTTATTTTACTTTAACAATGTTGCTATATACTAGTTGTTACGATCACCAGTGATCTAGCGGCTGTGGATCGCTGGAAACCTACACAAACGCTAATGAACTATAACTCCCAGCATGCACCTCGCGGACTGATTTCAAGGACTATAAACTCACACACAGACAAATTGTTGCTGAGTCTTAAACTGTTAGTGAGCATTACGACACGTTTCCTCTTGCCTTGCCGAGTTTGACCCCTTTACTTTGTTTTTTTGTTTGCCGCCTTTACGCTTGGGATTATTCAGCCTGATCTCATGGGGCAACGTAAGTATTTTATGTTTTGTCAGTTTAGTGGCTAATTTGTATTGGTACAAGTTTTGTACGAAAATGTAACCCCAAAACCGTCATTGGGTGTTGAGTAAATTGTACTTAACTGTATGAATTAGATCGTAAGAATTCATTCGAATTAGTCACTAAATTAAAAAGTTACGAATTGCCATGAGATTGCGTTGGATTATTTTAATGCACCTGTTTGTTTCTGTTTCAACTTTTAATTGCCAGATGATTCTGCTAATAAACTGCTATTTGATCCTCAACTTTGTTGTGCAGGCGTCCTCACATGACACTAACCTTGTTTTTGCTGTTAAAAGATGACCAAATGTGTTATTTGTAAAAAAAGAAAAAGAAATAGAAAGTTTGATGTAAAACAATTTTGTATTTTTTCAAGCAAATTTGTTTTGGAGTTTAACCGTATCCTAAAAATATTTGTTAAACTATAATATAGTTTACAGTTAGTTTTACAGTGTTTTATGACAACAGCAACTATTTGTACCTAAGCTTTTTTAATCATTCTTAAATTAAATGTATGTTAAAAGTGAAAGAATTTATGGAATATTTAGGGATTTCATGCAAAATTACATAAATTAATCCGTACAACCACTAATGTGAATAATTACAGTAATAACCTGGATAATTACAGTAATAATCATTATAGTCACATTAATTAATTTTTATAATTGCATTAATAACCTGCAAAATTACACTAATAATCTTTAAAATCACATTAATCTCTATAATTTCAATAAAAAAAATAATTTACAGTAATAATTTATAAAATGACAGCAATAAGTTGTGTAATTTCAGTAATAATTAGTGAAATGGCAGTAACCCCCCACAATTTTTTTTCACAGTTTAAGTGATGCTAATTTTTTACAGCATTAAACTGTAATGAATTTTGACCAAAAAGAATGTTCTCTATTTTTACAGTTTTTGCATGTAATTTTGTTAAATGGTTATTTTCTGTATTTTAACAGAATATCTCTGGAAGCCCTGCTGCCAGTCTTTTGACTGTTTTGTTTTTTTTTACAGATTTTCTTTCTACAATGTGCTTTGTGAGCAATAACTGTCATAAAATGAGTTCTCAGTCAACTCTATGTAACTCATAAAATATGCTTAAAATGGCTTTTTAACTTTAAATAATAACTTCAAATAAAACTAAGGGCTTTGAAATGTACATAATAGGCATACATGATATTATCAGACCTTTGCGTTTAAGTAAAATAAAAATACAAATGTAGTTCAACTTTTATTTGATAAAATCATGTTGGATGAACTAAATTGCTTTTAGTTGTGTAAATAGTTTTTAGTTGATGCTAAACAAATTTATTGGATGGAAATCCTGCCCTCAAAAGTGAGTTATTTTTTGAGTGTTCACATGTACAGTTAAAGTCAGAATTATTAGCCCCCCTTTGAATGTATTTTTTTCTAATATCTTCCAAATTTCGTTTAAGAGAGCAAAGAAATTTTCATGATATGTCTGTTAATATTTCTTCTACTGGAAAAAGTCTTGTTTTTTTCAGCTATAGTATCAAAGCAGTTTTTTTTTTTTTTTATGAACTGTTTTAAGGTCAAAATTATTAGCCCCTTTAAGCAATTTTTTTTCAACAGTCTACAGAACAAACCATCATTATACAATAACTTGCCTAATTAACCTATCCTGCCTAGTTAACCTAGTTGTCCCTTTAAATGTCACTTTAAGCTGTATAGAAGTGTCTTGAAAAATATCTAGTCAAATATTATTTACTGTCATCATGGCAAAGATAAAATAAATATTTCATTAAAGAGTTATTAAGTCTATGTTAAGAAATGTGTTGAAATGTCTCTCTGTTAAAAAAAATGGGGGGAAAATAAACAGGGGGCTAATAATTCAGGGTGGCTAATAAATCTGACTTCAACTGTATGTCCATGTATACCTATAGTAATTATATTTAATTCTGCATAATTTACCTTAATCCTAACTCTCATGTAATCTTCATGTAATTAACGTTACTTAGTAGTTAAATTAATATGTACACTGTAACAATAACGTGTCTCATAATATTATTTTTAAATCTCTGTTAATAGCTATTAGAGTTCAATTTATGTTGTAGCCTATATTTTGAAGACCTCTACTCCTATTCAAAATAGGGTTACATTTCAACAATAATAGAAATGTAATAACTTCCCAAAGTGGTCATTATTAACATTTTAAAACTCCTTTATATAATGAATAGTATCATCATGCTAATTTAACAAACTTATAAAAGAAAACGTCTCATTAAAAATGAAAGCAGTGATTAAAAGACGTGAAAGATGTGTCTATTATCTGTATGCGTGAACAATCCAAAAAGTTGTATTTACTTTTGATAGTGAACACTGCCCCCGCCCAACACTGGCAGATGGCCAATAATAATTGAAGGCGTGTGCCGCGCCGCTCCTTATTGGCTGGGAGAGCTGTCACTCCGGGCTGTAGTGGGCTGGCTAATTGAATCGCTGAGTGCGATACACACTTCTATCCATCTCACTCGCGAGGAAGGTAGTAGCACATTACCGAACGTCAGCAGGCGCTACCGGAGGCGCATGAGAAACGACGAGTAAAAGCCGCGAAACAATCCGAGGAGCCAGCAAAGGTGTGCTTGACTCAAAAGTACGGAAAGGAGGAAACTTCGCGTAAACTATGGCCGTATCTGCAACTCCTCCGGTGCTTTCACCGACCTCCACTCCCGGGGGCGCGAGCCTGTTCCGTCCCGACTCTCTGTACTCCAGCCCAGCCGAGTCGCCGCGACTGACCAGCAGCATGATCAACTCTTTCATCACCGGCGGCGGCAGCACGAACGGCAACGGGCCCGGTGGTGTCCACAATAACGAGTGTAAGATGGTGGAGGTGCACGGGGTGAAAGTGGCCTCGTTCACTGTGGACGGTCAGGAGCTCATCTGCCTCCCGCAGGTGTTCGACCTGTTCCTGAAGCACCTGGTCGGCGGACTGCACACCGTGTATACCAAGCTGAAGCGGCTGGATATATGTCCGGTGGTGTGCACGGTGGAGCAGGTGCGGATCCTGCGCGGACTCGGGGCCATTCAGCCGGGCGTGAACCGGTGCAAACTCATCACCCGAAAAGACTTCGAGACACTTTATAACGACTGCACCAATGCCAGGCAAGTCTTAAATCACACACAGCCTATGCATTTACACTAAAATATGTCGAGTCTGATGCTCTTTTCAAGTTCATCCAGAACTAATAGTCGAGTTGTGGTGTACTTTGGAAAAGTTTGTAGCTAACACTTTAGACGCAACTTATATTAAAAACGTCATTAACAAAAACAATTTAATACAAATATGAATATACATTAATTACTCGTTTTTTACTTTTCTTTTGTATTAAAATGTTTTTTTTGATGTTCATGATTTTATTATGCTAATAATTTTAAATATTTTTCTATTTAAAAGTTAATAAAAAGTGCTTCTCAAAAAAAAAAAGAAAAAAAAGAAGAAATGCCTAATGTTGTTATTTTATCTACAATTATTTCTAATTAATTTTATTTTTTTCACCAAAAGTGTCCACCTGCACTTTTGACCTCTTGTCCTTTTCAGAGCAAGTGATTATCCTTGTAAAACGCAGTAATAGTTATTTTAAAAATAATGACAGCTTTCTCCAGACTCAAGTGAGATTTTTTTTCTACAAAATCTTTTTTACCCGTTCTCCACCCTGCAGCCAGTCCGTTTTTAAAACGTTTATCTAAATGATAAAGTAAACCTAAAACAATAACATGACACATATACACATGCAAGTTGATATAAAAGATGCAAGTATAAATTATGAGTTTTTTCAGCTGCCCTAAGTTAAAACAGGCAAACATTTTATTATTGTTAAACTCTGTTTACACTTAGCCAATTGAAATTGTAATGATCTGTCACTAACTGATAGCACAAAACAAAGTGAAAGAGTATGATTATATAAAGAAAAACTTGATCATTTATTTTTACTTTTTGTTTATATAACAATTATGGAGAAGCTACCCTTTATTTCAGTCCTTTTATTTAGTCTTTCGTAAGGTTTTCTTTTATCAAGTGACTACAATGCTTATTACACTTTAAAAACTACAAGTGTTTAGCAACTTTCAATAGTATTTATGCATATATATATATATATTATTAACTATTGCTCTAATACGGTGACAGCTCTTTGGACTAGGGGTCAGACTTCATTGTATTTCACTTCTTTTATTTGCTCCACTGAGTCAGGCTCACATGAATAGACATTAAGATTTAATGCACTTTTAACCTATCCAGGAGCAGATCTCGAATCCTAGTTTGATACTCAATTCATCTGCATGATGTCCCGCGTCTTATTTGAATAAGGTGTTTTGCCATGTTGCACAGCAAACACCTCTCCAGGATCTGTGGCTCTTTTTGGTGTGGGGATGTTATTCTTAGCTTGTTATCATGACAGACACATTAGTGTTCTCAGGGTCCTCTAGCAATATCAGCTTATGTGTATACAGTATGTGTGTGTGATTGGTGTGGTGGGACTCAAGGGAGCTATATTTCTTTAAAGACCTTTATCATCCAAAGGAGAAAAAAAGGCTGTATTTATATGTTTGTGAAAACTAGATCTTTGATTTCTTGCCGAAATACACTTGATGTAATTTGACTTAGGAATAAAATGATTACCATATTTTTATATATTTTTAAATGTAATATTTAATATGGCATATTTTGTAGTTACATAACTTGCATCCCTAAAAGTTCAGAACCTGTAAGGCTTATCTGCAACTCTTTAGCAACTTTATGTATTCTTCTCCATGAAGTGCTTTGCATCGGGTCTAGTATTTTCAATTTTCTATTTCCATTTTCTTACTTTCTCACAGGTAAAAGGTCAGATATTGAAAATTGGGTGCAGGTTCAGAAACGTGGTACACTTTTTTGCACAGTGAAAGTGTGTGTGAGGAGATGAACGCATGTGTGTTTGAGGGAGAGAGAGAAAGAGCGCGTATCCAGATGGCCATTCTGGGCAAGGTTCGGTAATTAACCTTTTAACATCCCCAGCACAACCTCCAGAAGAATCCCCCGTCACTTTATTGGGCTCTGCGCAGTTCTGTATCAATCTGCTGTGCACATCTAATTAGAAATGAGGAGCGAGGAGAAAAGTGAGCGGGAGAGAGACCGTTTTTACAACATTATTTTGTTTAATTTTGAGTCCAGGCAAAAAGGACAATAAGAGAATGAGGTGCGGAACGCTGCACTTTTCACTCTTCTGTCAGATTGCAGCATACGGTCGGATAATGAAATTGCCCGAGCAATGGGCCGCCCTGAAATTGAATTTGCTCCTCGCCATCGTTGCTTTACAGTTCACCTTCGCAAGCATCGCTTTTATAGTCAGATTTAAACATCATCCACCGTCCCGCTACCAGATGGCTGAAACTAATGTGTGCGCTGGCCCCTCGCCTCCTCTCTCTCTCCTCTCTCTTCCTTCAGCACAGGCTCTATGGGAAAAGGGCTAAGCTGGGACAAATGGGTGTCTTTTGCATCAGTTTGTACAGGATGGCCACGGTGCTGCAAGTAAGGTCCCATACATGCTAGGAGACAGCAGTGTTTTAAACAAATATCTGACTACTTAGGGTGTTTAAACAGGGCGCATTCTAGTACGCAACTAGAGAATAACAGAATTAAGCGGGTCACATTTTCACAACGTATGCAACACGGCATTCCTTTTGTGCATGTGTAATATACCAATTAGGCATTGGAATCTTAATGAATTTTATGATACTGGTTCTGCATTCTCTTAACAAATCCCTAGAAGGTCCATTATTTAGTGATATTTTTGTGCTTTTCTACTTTTGTATTTAATATTTATGGCTTTGACAGATCCTAAACTCTCAGAAATAATGGAACGTGAGCTGTCACTGATGTGATACCTTTTTAAAAGGACGGTACACATTTGTTCCTAAAGGGTCCATATTGGTACCTTAAAAGTATAAATTAGTACCTAAAATTTTTAAAAGGTAATTTTTTTTTGTAATTTTAGGTACTAATGTGTACCCTTGAGGTATTAATATGGACATTTAAGGTACAAATTTGTACCTTTTGAAAAGGTACCACCCCAGTGACAGCAAGCTATATTTCTGAGTGTATAATCCCAGCATAGCAGATGTATTAAATCAGATATTTTAAAACAATTATTGCTAAAAGTGCTTAAAAACACAATATTCACAGACTTTTTTTGAGGTGACATTAATATAAGATAAAATATAATAAGACTACAGTCTAGTTATACTTTAAATAATGCAAAATATTTTTTATAAAATTCATTTATTACTTAATTATAAATCTGTCATAACCTACATGTCAGTTAATTGACCTTGAATTGATTCACAAATGTATTATTAACTAGAATAGCTTGTCACTAAAGAATAGTCATTAAGTTGCAATGTACAGGAAAAAAACAACTTTAAGAAAAAAATGCAATCGGAGTTTTTGATTCACTAAAGAGAACCGGCTCATAAGAATCATTCGATGAGGAAAGAGACCTCAAGTCTTTCATCCATTTTAGAAGCCCAAAGGGGAACCAAAGGTCATGCATACAGCATTTTAAAACCATAGACAAAGTCTGTTCTGGAATATAAAAGTTTACGGAACGACTGACGGATGATGTCTAGATAGGGAGCTCACTGTGGTTTCAGAGAAAGCCTAAAAATAAGCAACCGGATCTGTAACACACAAAGTGTCCAAATCAGCAAACGCACGCGGCACTTACGGCCCGCTTTTTATGATTTCTCAGCTCGCAATTGATCTCCAGGTTTTTAATGCATTCATTATTTATTAAAACGAAATTTGCAAGCTAAACATAACACTAAACTAGTTTGCACTTGGGGACTGCACTTAGGAAATTGAATGGGAATTACATTAGAGATGAACATCTGTGCTTTCTCTCCTGCCTCTTCGCAAAGGTGGATTGGATTAGTTTAACTGTTTTTTTCCACCCCAAGTGCAAGAATCTCCAAAAATAATAATCAAAAAGTGCAGAAAGCTCTTGTCCGCTAACATTTATTGCACCGCTGACCAGAGAGTTACTTCATGCGAATAACATTATAAAAAGGAGAGAAGCATCCCTGCTTGCATGAATGCCAATCACACTTTAGCAGGAGTTGCAGGAATTGTCAAGTTAAATCATAAAGCGCATTACTTGTTCGAAAGCCTGTCATCTTTTTTTCGTCTCTTGAAGCGATTTGCTTTTTTTAGTCATTAATTTAAAATGTGTCTAATTCCCATCGTTGCCCCAGGCGCGCGCTTCCACTGCGCGTCAAAAGTGCTGCGATTCTCAGATTCCCTAAAATGCACAGTTTGACATCTTTAAGATGCATGTGATATATAATTATTATCTTGTGAAGGATTTTGAGTCGTGCGCAATGTTTAAACTCTAAATAAATCGGCCAACTTTGATACGAAAGAATAATAATGACGGACAATTGCTAATACACATAATTACCTTCGCTTCTCCTCTGAGGCGTGCGCGCTCCAGAGCGTGACCGCGAGCCTGCAGGTCTCCGAGTTTTGTCGCGCGTGCACGTGTGCGCGCCCGGTCCATATGGACAGCAGCTCAGCGCCTGTGGCTTCGCCCGAGGCTGCGACGCTCAGCTCTGCCCGGACACCCGAGACACCCCGCTGTCTCATCAAATCTCTTCAGATTTTTCGCTCTTCCTTCGGCGCACCTTAATGTCAGCCATTAATTATACATCCACTTTTTTTCCTCCGAGTTGTTTTTTTTTTTTTTTTTTGCAGATTCACTTTCCTTTACCCTTTCTGCACTGTAAATTATGAATTAGATAATCTTAAGCATCAAGAAGGGCTTTAGTGTGTCTGTATGTTGGTATGTGAACAGCTGTCTTATCTCATATCCGATGACCCCCAAAAATAAGAACACTCAGGCTATATGTTTTGTCTTTTTAAAATAACATTTGAAAATAATAAATAAAAGGATGTTGACTTCAAAATAATTAGTGAAAATGAGCTGAAACAATTATTTTTTTTTTTTTTTGGGACAACTTAATCGTTTAATGTTTAACCCACTTTCATTTGTAAAATCTAATGAGCTAATTCCTTCATCTTGTCTCAACACAAATTAAACCCAGCATTTTGTACAGTGTTAGTTTAAAAA